GTGTGTGTGTGTGTGTGTGTGTGTGTGTGTGTGTGTGTGTGTGAAAGAAAATTGAGTTAGCGTCCTCTTGAATGGATCAGATATCTTGAGACACTGAAACCACATTGGTTTATTTTCCTTTTCTTTAAGGAATAAAAATGTTCTTTTTCTTTGTGTGTCTGTCTGAGAGTGGTATACGCATGTGGGTGCTTGTCTATGTGTGAGTAGATAGAAATGTTTTCCTGCTCATGCGAGAAGTGTTCTCAATTACAGCCGTAGTCAGAAGTGGAAACAGATGGTAGTAGATGATGGGAGACAAAGTAGCTCTGTCCTACCTACTCCTTCTCTTTCTCCTTCTCTGTCTTTCTCTCTCTCTCTCTCTCTGCACGTCTCGCACACACGTCTACCTCTTAAGCGTTAAATCGCCCGTTCACTTCAGGAAAAACATACCCACTTTGCGAACACGTGCAGCATAGACAAAGACAGTCCTTCAGTGATCTTGACACACATCATCACTCATAGTCACCCATACATGAAAACAGAACTTGCAGAGCAGTGTTGCTTTGCACTAAACCACAGTTCATTGAACTTAGACCCAGTTTCCCTGTAACCGGTCTTTAAACTGAGATCCTCTTTGTCCACGCGCTAACGATGAAAGGGAGGGGTGCTGTTGTCAGCCTGGGCCCAGTGCTGCTGAGCGTCACCCTGACTCAGTTTCACGTTCACTTGCTCTTTTATTTGAAATTTATGTTTTAGTTAAAGAGATTTCCCCTTTAACACAAATACTTCTCAGCAGCCCTCATCACTTCTCTTTTCCTTCCTCCATCCCCTCATCACTCATCCACTTACTCCCCCTTTCACTCTCTCTTCCTTTATTCTTCCCTCCCTCTTCTCTGGAGCTTCATGCAATCTTTCTCCTTTTACCCTAATTCTTTCTTTGCCCCCAAGCTAAATAATTTAATTATTTTAATATGCAATGTCCCAAATATGCTCGAAAAAGCTAAACTAGCAAATAAAAACGTCATTATAAATCATCTCTATTTACCTCCTGTTTCTTATTCTCAGTGGGAGGAGATCAGTGTCATGGATGAGAGGAATACCCCGATGAGGACCTACCAGGTGTGTAACGTCATGGAAGCCAACCAAAACAACTGGCTGAGAACGCGCCACATCAGCCGGGAAGAAGCGCAGCGCGTCCACATTGAGATCAAATTCACCCTAAGAGACTGTAACAGTCTACCCGGGGTCCCTGGTACCTGCAAAGAGGTTTGCATCACACAAGCATAATACACAAGCAAGCTTCATAAACACATGATCAGCATGTGGGCTTTTCGGTTAGATAACAAATGCCGATGCAGCTGGTGTGTGTGTTTGTGTTTAAGGCCTCCTGTTGCATTTATGCTGCTCGTTTGCCTACTCGTCCTGAGCAAAACATTGAGTGTTGATAGGCTCCATGGCTTCTGCTGTGTAGCTGTCTGCTCTTTGAAATATTTTTGGTGTAAAGTAAGAAGAAAAAAGAATACATTTCCTTAGTGGTTTTTTTTTTTTTTTTAGATCAATAGCACACGGGTAAATTATATTTCAAGTTGAGTGGTTTTTTGTTTGCAGTTGTTTGCACTCCCGCAGAATATTCTCTGACTATCCACTGTGCTCGGCAGCATTTGCAGCGTCTTCTTTAACTCCTCAAATGTGTGACTTAGTAGATACATCTTAATTAGACCACTAAGTAGATCATTTACAAATTAGACACATTAAATGCAGTTTATTTATTGCTGTGCTGTGAACTGTATGAATGGAAGCACATTTAAGGCATATTTAATACCATCGCTTTTCCTGTTCTTATATGAAGGTTGTTAACATGTGTATTATCAACAGGTCTGTCAAAAGGAGGTGTGTGTAATCTAGTTACTGTAATGTAGTTAAAAAATACAAAAGAACTTATTTTTCATCCGTTTCCAGTCAGAATACTAAACACAAACAGGGAAACACAGAAAAATAACACGAAGCAATAGCTGGAGAATAAATCAAAGTTTATTCTACAGGCTTTTTTTGTTCTTTTTATTAATCTTTTTCCCGCCCTCCATTCTCTTATAACACTGCCCTGTTCCGTATACATTTCAATTCGTCTGTCCCTTATATGCCTTTCAGTCTTACTACATCTCTAGAATAAATAATGGGCTTAATGTGACAGTTTAGAGCTGCGCTCTCATGAAGCTGCAGACAGCGTTGCTGACTTTCAATCCAGACAGATGCACTGAGATACGGAGACAAGCTGCTGAAGAGCTGCAGAACAGTGGATGCCTTGTTAAAATTTCACATTGGATGGACCCGCTCATACTTTTTATCTGTCTCGGTTAACTGTGCGTCGTTCTGTCTTGTGTGGGATCTTTGATTTTTACTGCCTGAAAACTGTTTGTTTTTGCAGACATTCAACATGTACTACTATGAGTCCAACAATGCAAACCTGTGGTTCATTAAGGAAAGTCAGTACATCAAAATTGACACTATTGCTGCAGATGAGAGCTTTACACAGGTATGGATACTCACACAGAGAGAGCATAAGAACACTTTCAATTGCTTTCAGTTTGCTAAAGATTGCATTATCCCATTCACCAAACTCACATGTAAAATATATCTTTTCTTCACAGGTGGACGTTGGCGACCGTGTCATGAAGCTAAACACGGAAGTGCGGACCATCAACAACTTGAGTAAAAAGGGTTTCTACTTGGCCTTCCAGGACCTGGGCGCCTGCATTGCTCTGGTCTCCGTGAGGGTCTTCTACAAGAAATGTCCACTCACTGTGCTAAATTTGGCCCAGTTTCCTGACACAATAACGGGTGGAGAAACGGCACTGGTTGAGGTGCATGGTGTGTGTGTGAACGCCTCTGAGGAGTTTGAGCCTCCCAAGATGTACTGCAGTGCAGACGGCGGATGGCTGGTTCCCATCGGGAGGTGCGTGTGCAAACCAGGCTTCGAGGAGAACAAGGACATGTGCCAACGTGAGTGGGGCTGGGGTCCTCAGGCATGTAGGGGACAAAATGTAAGCGTGCAAGTGTTTGTGCATTTGTGTGGGAGAGACAGACAGAGACAGGGCAAATGAGGAAAAAGTGTGGTGCTGACATGTTTTGGTGATTAATTCAATTCAGTTCAAGTAATTTGTATTTATATAGCAGCAAATCACGACAAGGTTTCCTTAGGGTGCTTTATATTGTAAAGTAAAGACCATACAATAATACAAAGAACACCCCGACAATCAGATGACCTCTATGAGCAAGCGCTTTCACGACAGAGGGAATGAAAAACTCCCTTTTAGCAGAAAGACACTTCCAGCTGAACCAGCCTCATGGAGGGGCACCTCTGCCATTGGCTGTGAGTGGAGGAAGACAGGACAAAGACACACTGTGGAAGACAGACAGAGATTAATAATAACTAATGATTAAATGCAGAGAGATGTGTCTGTCTCCCGAATCCAAACTGGGAGCTGTTCCACAGAAGAGGAGCCTGAGAGCTGAAGGCTCTGCCTCCCGTTCTACTTTTAAATACTCTAGGAATAACAAGTAAGCCTGCAGTCTATGAGTGAAGTGCTCTAATGGGGGTGATACGGTACTATGAGGTCTTTAAGATAAGATGGGGCCTGATTATTCAAAACCTTGTAAACAATGAGAATTCTACATTTAAAAGAGAGCCAATAAAGAAAAGCCAGTTTGGTAGAAGTATGCTCTCTCTCTTTCTAGTCCCTGTCTGCACTCTCGCTGCACCATTTTGCTGCTACTTTCAGTCCCAACTTTTTTGAGACACGCTGCTGCCATCAAATTCAAAATAAGCTCATATTTTTCCCAAAACACTGAAGTATCTCACTTTCAAAGGTTGTACTGTGAGTAGTTTTAAAAGATTTGCAGTTTATTTTATTGTTTTTATTCACATTTTTCACAGTGTCCCCACTTTTTTGGAAGTGGTGTTGTGTATAAAAGTGTGTACATATCTACGTGGCTGCCTCTGCGTGCAGATGCACTGTAGTGAATTTTGCAGTGAAACAGAGGATGGAATGACAATGACTCTATGTATTTAGGTTAGGGACACACTTTGTGTGAATGTGTTTTTTTTTTTTAACTGCATGTGTGTGTGTGTGTGTGTCATCCTTCCCAATACAGCGAAAACAGCTTTTGTAGAGGAAAGAGTAGAAGTTGCTTTAAGGCATCTCCTCTTTTGTGTGTGTGAGTGTGTGTGTCTGACAGAGCTGAACGTCTCATTTTCCCTTCTCAAGTAGAGGCGAGCAGTATGAGTGTGTGTGAGAAACTGCTTATTGATGTGTGTTGTGTTGCAGGAGGGGAGGAAAAGGTATGCCTTAGGAAGCAGATTATTGAGTTGTAAAACTCCCCAGATGGTGTGTGCAGCATGTGTGAGTTTGTGTGTACATACTGTGCATGCATGCGTTTGAGTGAGCATGCTGTATTAAGCTCATGCTGTCACCTGTCCCTACGGGCTCACTTCCTCGCCGAAAAGAAAATGGAATCGTAGATATTCATCACTGCAGACTTGAAATCGGTGCGCATAATGCAATTTCAGTTGTTTGGGAGAAGCAGCAGCCAAGACGCCCAGAAAACTTGGCAGTTGGGCCTTAGAGACAAGTGAATAAGAACAAGCTGTACTCTGCAGTTTGCAGACTGGTAATGTGCGCAGATTGTGGCAGAACTCGAGCTGCATCTCAATCATGAAACGCAGACTGTTGAGCTACATGCCTGTCTTGTAAACGTACACGCTGTAGTTATTTGACAGGCGAGCTAGCTGGCAGATGTTTACACTACGCAGGTCTTTGTCACAGTACTAAAAACTATTTAAAGTCAGTCTGACACAGCAGGGTGCTTGACCTCAGTGATCTCCATGACCTCGTCGGCCAGATTCTTGACTCTTCTCACTCCAGAGAGAATAAATCGAGTAATAAAGGAGCATTTAACAAGCTAGCTTAAACTCTAAAGTCTAAACAGTCTAGCTTTTGTGTGCGCACGTATGTTTGTGTGCTGCAATTGTGTGCAAAGGTAATGATGGAGTCTTATTGATAGTCTGAGGTCACATGTCAGGAAATATATACGGCCCATGTCTAATAGGTTAGGGTCACCAGAGATGCAGGGAAAACAGGTGTCCACTGCGTTCAACATGGGAAGGAAAGCCAGGTTTCTGTATTCAGTTCATATGTAGCAATTATTCTGGGAACAAAAAGAAATAAATAAATAAACATTTTCAATAGATTTTAATTCCTTTGTGGTGAATTGAATCTTCCCACCCGCAGGGATGTCTGCGCCACCTACTCGGTATTAGGAAAAACATTTTTTGTAGGATCATGGGGAGGATTTGCATAGCAATGAAATTTCCTCATACAGCAGGAGAATTCGCTGTCCCACCAGTGTCAGCCAAACATATCAGCCAAACATAATAATGCCAAAAATTCACTCCCTGGAAACCAGCTTTCTTTTGTTTTAAATAACTTTGTGCCTGTGCTGCGTTTGCATGAACATGCTTCTATTTTCAGACTATCACCTTACCTTGTCAGAATTCACTTAGCCAGCTAATGCGGCTGCATCCGTAATCAGCCTCATTTTAGCAAGCGGATTCACAAAAGACATGAGAGGACACACAACAACAAAAACCTACATCAACTCAGTATGTTGCACTTTAATGTGTTCCTGAGAGAACAACAGGCAGGCTTTTAAAGGGTCCTCTCAGCGCTCTGCATCAGCTCCAAACAAAAGGTTCCTGGCCTGAAACAGTCTGGAGGTCTGGAGGTCTTCCATAGGGAAAACACACTCTGCTAATGCATTTAAATCATCCGCTCCCGTTTGCTGTCACACAAAGAGATGAAGAGGTGAGGTTCGGGGGGAGAGCTTCAGGAGGGCATTTTGTAATTGTCATTGTAGCACAAGTGAGCGAGCCATTTAATGGATGTCTTCAATTCTCTCCTTCCTTCTTGTTCCTTTTCTTTGCTTGTTTTTTTTTTCTTTTCTACCATTTAGCACCTTTGACATTCACCGTTATCGTCCTGTGTTCTCTGTGAATCTTTTCCTTGTCTTTGGCTTCTCTTTCTCTCTCTGTCATTCTTTCCCTCTGCCTTCCTTTCTCTTTGTTTTTCTGCCTTTTCTTTCTCACGGTGCAAAGCGCTAATGGAATCATTACTAGCCCCTCTGTGTTAGACAACCACCAGGCACCTCCAATTACAGCTTTTTTTCACAGTTTCTGTCTCTTTCCCCTCCCCTTGTCGATTTTCTAACCTTTTTTGCGATGTCTCCTTCTATTATGGGACTGTTCTCCACCTCTCGTTTTCGACAAGCCACCCATTTTGCTCCCCACCCGCCTCCTCTGCCATTGTCTTCTTTTTTTTCTCCTCCACCTCACCATTTTTCTTTCTGTCTCACATCTCCTCCTAGCAGCCCTTATCTCCTCTGTCTGCACTTGTTAAACATTTATAGATCATGGGTTCATCTTTCTCTCCTTCCCTTTTCCAACCCAATGCTTCCCGTTCCCCGGAGAGAGTATGAAGCTAAGTGTGTTTAAATGTATGGATGTGTATGTTTTGATCTTGTTAATCGAGGGCACTGTGCTAGATTAAATCCGACGGGTTGTTTCATGACATATAAGGGGAAATACATCCAGGTCCAGGATAAACAGCACACATATCAACAGACTGTGGAATGGGATACAGCGGTATTCATGGGAAATGTGGTCTTAATTTTGAATAACATAAGCAAAAACAAACCACGAGGTTGAGATGTAAACAGTCTTCTGTCATCTTGATATATTTTTACTGAGTTATCATAATTAATGCGACAGTGATGATATATGACTCCATGTTCTTTTTATTGCCTGGAAATCTCATTAAAGGACCAAAACAAATTAACGGTAATGCTTTTTGGCTTTTGCTAACTTGCCTGTGGCACTCACTCTTATCCAGTCCTATTAAAGACAGTCATTAAAATCAGGGACAAAGATTTATTTGCTTTACTATTACAGGTCGAATAATTTCTTCCTTGACCTTCTGTTTCTGAGAAAGACCCAAAAAAACAATACTTTTAGAGGTATCAACCTTTCAAAGAAATTTCTTTCAAAAGTCCCTGGAACTTATTTTTTTCATAGACTAAATTATTCTATGTTGTGATAACCAATACAATGAATGAAAGTTTAGTCTTGATTGTTCATTCTTGAAGATGCTGTCTTATACCCCCTCTAATTTTTTTTTAAATAAGAAACTTATGGGGCTTTTGATATAAAGTTTAAAAACAGAAGGGACCATCTACCAAGAAGGAACTGACTAACCTTTAGTACTGACCTGGATCACCTTCATTAAAAATTTTGATTCATGTTACTGGCTATGGCAGTAGATGCACTCTGCTAATGCCATTAGTTGTGTTTTCAGCCATGCACTAAAAGCAGTGTTACTGCAATGGCCTTTAACTCCTTTGCTCAGTCTCAAGAAATCATACTCATCTGCTTTGTCACTACTGAAGTTGCATAATCGCCCTCTCTCCCCTTCTCTCCCTCCGTGTAGCTTTTGCACTACCTTGTCAGTTCAACTCCGTCTCTCTCCACCCCATGCAGAAGCCTCCGTCTGCGTAGCCAAAGCCCCGCTCCTCCACTCCCTCCTCTTTCCTTCTCCTGCTTTCTTTATTCTATGTGCCTTTGTCTCTTGTGCATTCTAGTCCTGCTCGCCCTCTCTGTTTCCGTCTGCCACTGTTTTCTTCTATCCCCTCTATTTTCACTGCATACTCCCTTGCCCTCTCCTGTTGTCTCTGTCTTTCATAGCTAGTAGGGGATGTAGTGAATACTCCTCTCCAACCTCTCCTGCTTTAAGCCCTAGGGGTACATGCTGAAGGGCAGGAGCGTGTGTGGGTGTGTATGTATGTAGCTGTGTCACCTACATGTGCGCTCGTGTGTTCTGTCCTTCTCTGTGGGTCTGACAGCACCAATTAATGCCTCAGATGTGGAGAGATGGAGGAGACGGATTGAAGGA